ACTGGATATTATTTTACAGCATTGATTTCTCTGGGGAAGTTTACTCTGTTCCCTAGTTTAGGCTCGTTCTGTATTTCTCATTCCAAATGAGTGGAAGCAAAGGAGTAAGTCCATCTTGCAAAGAGTTAAGCTGGAAGATACTGATTTGGATGAGCACAGAATGTACCGATGCCAGCCAGCAGGGACAGAGACGTATTCCCACAGATAACCTCATACCACCTTAATTCTGTTTGTTGCACTATCAGCAAAGAAGTAGGGCAAGATTTTTGCCAAGAGCAGCTAGAGAAGTAGATCAAAGTCTCTGCCTCAACTGATAAGAAAGTTTCAGAAGCAGACAACAGAAGCCTGTCAGCTTGCATACAGCTAACTGCCTGGGATTTAATACATGAAGACTATCATTGTGGAAAGCTACGGACTGATTCTGTGGCCAAAATCCTGAGTTATGATTCATATTCAGCAATTTCCAGCTGTCCTGCTACAAACTGGCATATGTCTTCATTTCTCTCCAATTCATCTTCTCTTAAAGAGTCAGGAGTACTACATTTAACACTACAAGATAAGCTCATGCTTCTCCAAGACACAGCTTGTTGGAGTAATTTCATTTTATAAGCACAATGGATGAAAACATGAGAGTCCTCATTACACATTGGGAAAGATTTTGGACAAAAACTGCAAGGGAAGGAGTCTGGCTGAAGCGATAACAGGACTTCTCCACGTGCATTCAAAGACACTGCAGGACCCTACAGGAAGGCAAGCAGACAGTCCTACACAGAAGCCCTGCTATTTCACTAGGGTGGCATGTCTATCCTTCAATACATTCAACAGATTGCCTTGGAGTTTTAAAGGACACAAATGAAACCTGCTTCCGCATCTGAAATCAAGCATGTACATTTAGCCCTTTTTAATATCAAGTTTAGAAATAATTCCACAATTTAAACAAGCGCCACATGGAAACATCTTAGTAATGTTACATGTTTGCCAAGTATGTCTGAATAATGCCAACATAAGAGGTGCTTTTGCAAGGTCTACATTCTCCAGAAAAAAACAAAACCAAAAACAAAACCAAAACAAAAATAAAGCACATGAATTTGGGGTTGAGGTTGGAATAGGAGACAGTTCAGACCTGGTTTAATCCTGAGAAAGATGGGTCCTGAGAAGTACTAACAGTCATGCTTCTTTTCCTCTTCCCCACTGGAGATTCTAAACACTGAACAAACAATAGAGGGTGGCAGTGCATCAAACAGTATTGCTTACATTGCAACAATGGCCGGCGCAGACAGGCAACACCGAGGCGTTCGAGAAAGAACAGGGTAGCCAAATGCCATCCTTCTTCCATCAAGCACTGTAGTTTTCAAAAAACTATGCATGTTCGTATTTTTTACTTATTTTTGTTTTTTTCCAAGGAGAAAATTTGAAAGATGTGACAAGGTAAATTTCAACTGTGAGCCACTCCAAAATGGCACTGCCTTGACCAGGGATAGCAATGGTGACATTTGGCTCTATTAAAAAAGGAAATTGAAGTTTTGCTTACAAAAGCATCCTTTGGCTCCACAAACTGCCCTTCCCCCAAAAGACATTTAGAAAAAGTAAATCTTCAGTAAGGAAGAGGTAGAAGGCATTTAGTCACCTTAAAGTTTACTTTCATAAGCATGCAGGGCTTATTTCTAGCAGAGCTGAAAATTAATCTTTTAAAGTGGGAGCAAAATTTCTCCCAATCACCAAATTAAAATTTGCAAAAAATCAATTAATTTTTTTAAAAAATACAACTGACAGGAAGCTACTGGAACAAGATTACCATGCTATTCTAGTCTTTGTGGCTGATTTTCTTTGAACTGTGTATAGTCCTCGCTAAAAAACCCAAGACTACACTTAGTTACAAAAAGAAACAAAGTAAATACTGTATGGTGGCAAGTGTTCCCTAGATAAAGGACTTGGTTCCAAACTGAAGCAAGCCGTTCCTCATTTTCTTATGTAAACCTAGCAATTTGCACTTCAGTCAAGAACTACCTCCCTAATCTCTAAAACCCTGCAACAGTAACAAAGCCCACGCCCACAGACAGTGTTTACCACCATATCATTGAGTGGCTCCCTAACTAGTCTACTAATGGGAAAAAAATATAATGGTTTACAGGCTTTTTCATTTCAGCTGATGCAAATCTAATGTGTTCCTCCACTAAAGTAAGCACAGCAGCAATTTCCAGGCCATTAATCCACATCAAGATGAAACAGAGTGCAGCAATGCCAACCTAGCATGACTGTGCAAAAGTACAGAAAAATGGCCCAAAAAGAACAATTGGAAATCAGAAACTAAAACTAGGAAAAAAAAATTAAAGTTTTCAAGTTATACTCTAGTCATGCCAGAATATCAAGGAGCCTAACTGCTCAACACAGCAGAGAAAAATAGAGCTCTACAGAGTTAAAGTATGAAACTTGGGAACAAGCAAAGTTTAACAGCAACAGGATTACATGAAGACTGCCTTTCAGCTGGACTTACAAGCTTTTCCAACAATGGTTGTATCTAAACATTCAGTGCATTGCACCTCTTCAGACAAGAGCTGTTATCTCATGTTAATCAAACTTTCCCCTTCTAATGTTCATGGCCCTGAAGTTGGCATTCATACAGGCAAACAAAGGTAAACATTTTAAATACTAGTAGTGCCTAAAGAGATGAGACATTGTCGGATGGCATATAGAGAAGATAAGTGGGAATCTTGCTTCCAATAAACAGCTTGATCACGTACATTTGTCCTGAAGTTAATTTCTATTAAGTAGCATGCTTAATGCATTGCCAATGCTGCCTGTCTGCCCGAGCTCGACATAACAAATTGCAGGATTAAGCATATTTCACTCAAGAGAACTACAAATAAAATAAAAAAGTTTTCTTCTATATAAGGTTTTCAACAGGAAACATGCACTTCTGACTACATTTACCCATCCAAACAAGTGCAACAACCTCAGCCCACCCCCACCCTACTTTTTTTTCCCCCCACAAAGTAAATGGAGAGCAGGTTTTTTTGTTGTACAACATATTCAGGTACTCTACAACTTAACAGTTTTCCACCATCGTATTTGCATAATTTCATTTGTTTTTAAAGGCAATTGATCTACATGTTGCCTATTAGTCATATCCACAGTTCTGATGGCTGAAGAGTTCTCTTCACCAGTCTGTCACTGCAAGGTTTAATGCCCTGATGACGAGTAGGTCAGAAGCTCCCATGTTGGCACGAGTTCTTTACATCCCAGGAAGTTAGCCCCAAAGCCAAAGACAAGATTTGACTTTATCATTGAGGAAAAAAATGCTATTACAACAGTCATCTTGATAACGGAACTTCATCATTGAGAAGAGCACCTAAGTATTCTCTAGGGTTAGTTATAATCTTGTTGCAAGCCTATAAATCATCTTGGAATCAAGTGCATCTCACACGGTGGGTCAGAGACCCACATGTGTATGCCACTGCATTTAGAAGCATACACTGAGAAATCCAAGTTCTCACATCAAAGAACCATGGTTTAGCATCCAAAACATCAGTTTTAGCAATGAGTTTTAAAAAGGTTGTGCAACTTGAACCAAGTAACATAGCCATTCCCTTTGGACCTTTTAAACAAAGAGCATTAGACTAACCTTATTACAGTGACGCCCAATACCCATTAGGAAGTTATCTGGTTTAATGTCTCTGTGTATAAAATTCTTTGTGTGCACATATTCAATTCTACTGATCATCTGTAAAAAAAAAAAACAGCAACAACAAAACAGGTAAGATTTCAATGAGAGCAATACAATTCACTTAAACCTTCAAAGCAAGCACAAATTTTTTTTTGCTTCCTCTGCAACTTAAGTTTATATAGTTGCTTAGTAAAAACCAAGTCTCTTTCTTATGCTGTTCAAATAAATTTATCTTTCTTAGATGTTAAAATTCCATAATCTTGATCAGGAAATGGCAGATTAAATACCTGAAACTATTTCCCAGACATTCAAGTTCATGTTCTAACTACAGCATCCCATTAAAGAGTAATTTCTTTTTCTTACTTCACACAAAGGTTTTCTATACCTACCTACCACGAGACAATTTTAAAGCTCATTCCCTCCCCCTGTCCCAGTTACTCATTCATCTGGTTATTCATTCATCATCAAGTGTCACTTTTCCAGGTTAACAGTTTTCATGGAACAAGTAACAACTTGATTACGGCCCATACTGTCGTATCTAGGCTACCATGATCCAGGAAAAACAGTCAGCAATGAAGACGCAGAAAAGCTCTGGCACATCTGTATCATCATATATGGTCATGCAATTTCCTGTGCATGACATCACAGCACACGCATTTATGTGGTACAGCTTCCCAGCTACTACAACACTCTTCACGCAGTCTTTAGTGAGTTGAATTGTTACAACATCATAACCTTGACAGCTGTTCTACTGGACTATGCCCTAAAAGCCATTTCCGTGCACTGATATCATACATCCCGTCTATGTTTCCCAGCTGACAACTAATTAGTGTTTATCATCCAAAGGAATACTGCACAAAACCCATACAGATTCCCTGGAGATGCTGTAACACCCAGACTCTAGATAACTGAGCAGGCAAATGGCTCTCTAAAGCAAGCGTACCGCTCACTTAAGGCAGCTGAGAACAGGGACAGCTGACCTTGTCTCCATACAAATGCTGTGAGCTTCCTTGGCCAAGAGCCTGGGATTCTACGAGCATCTGGCTAAGTGACAACTTGGTACTGACAGCAATTACATAATATTAGATGAAATTTAAACTACCACTGAAAATTCAACTTGAGAAATCCTTACTGCCTTTCAAGTAGCTGAAGACAGCACAATCAAGCTATTTATTAAATAGCAAGAAATAAATATGGCTGACCATTTCAAATGCTGTACTCTCATGACCAAGTTGAAAAAAAAATCACTAGAAAAAGACTTAACAGACCTCAGTTTTAGAGGCCTTGACTAAGTTTGAGGTAGAGTGGCATCTCCACTAACAGCTTTAAGAACTGTCTTTAAGCACCACAACAACCAAAACAGTATTTAGCTCATAGTCTGGTAGTAGGAAGTTACAGGAGGTTCTGAGTGCATAGTGACATCCAATAAGAACAAACTTGCATGCTGCCCACCTGTCACTGCAGCTGGCCAACATGTAACAGGCTTCCATTGAATCAGATCAACCATAAGCGGAGACTGCTTCAGACTTTCTAACACCTCCCCCATGGCTGATATTGGGAGTTAATCCACCCATATTACTCTTGATACTTTAACAAAGTTGCATTTGTCAGATGTGAGCGTCAAGGAGTTAGTATCTGTGCTGCCCTCCCACTACAGGCCTATGTTCATTTTGTATGCCACAGCACACAGAAGCCACCATTACTTCATTCCTATATAGGTCAAGTATTCACTTAGCTATATACAACACTGCATAACACATTATTTAACCCACTTAAAAAGAACCACGTTGCACAAAATACTTCAGGGTTTTTAACTTCCTCACAATAAGACTTGCACGTACCTGGTCTGCTAACATAAGTACTGTTTTCATCGTAAACCTGCGAGAACAGAAGTTGAATAGGTCTTCAAGGCTGGGACCAAGAAGATCCATAACTAGAACATTGTAGTCCTTTTCTTGACCATACCACCTGCAACAAAGAAAATTATTCAGCGTTAGCAGGAATCCTAATGCAGCCCCAGATACCGTTAGCCCTCTTGGCTGCAAGGGCACATTGCTGACTAATGTTCAATCTTGAGAGCTAACTAAAAACTAAGGCTAGTAGTGTCTTATTTTTCCTGGAAACAAAGTCTGAGGACAAAACAGAACACACAAGTTGGCAAGTGCGTGCACACACATTTAATTTTCCCTTAAGAAGAAACACTACTATACTTTAGCAGCAACTGAAATACCCAACACGAAAATCAAAACACAATCAAAGCATAAACTATTACATGTCAATATACTGAGGTGCATGTACAAAGTCTGAACTGAAACTCATCCGCAGGACACCTGACACTCCCATCATTGTTTCCTGAGTTAACTTCACAGAAACATAGTTAAATGCTTTAGGCTTTGTTTTCAGGTATGACTTCTCTGCAACAGACCAAAACAGCTCATGCAGTTAGCTCATATACTATCTCTTCCTTCATTTGTCCAAATTTAACAAATGGCAATCAAGTTCTACTGCTATTAAGTAGGAGATAAAGGCTCTTTACCAGGTTTCCAACATCATAAAGGGAAAAATAATTGTCATAAAAGCAAAAATACAAGTGTAGCAAAATCTCAACTGCAGCCAAACAGAGTGTGATACCCTTAAGTGTCCGATATATTAATTTGGGGCAAAAGATTAAATGTTACTAATGCTGCAAGGACAAGCAGAAAGCCTCCCATGCATATTTTTCCTTCCAATACATGTCTAGCATTTCTATCATAGTATTGCTTTATGTTATCTGCAACTTGGGGATAGTATTTCACCACACAAGCTGCCCAAGACGACCTGGAGTCACACCCTTCACTTCTGCAAATCTCAGCTGTGAATTTCCATACTTTAAATGGGCACTGAAAGACAGAACCTGAATATTCTTCTCTATAGTCCTTCTGCACATTCCAGATACCTACAGTTAAATGAGAGCTGAGTGTGAAAAACTGTTTATGAAGCTGTGCTGAGTAGTAGTACATCACTGTAAAGACTGAACACCTTCTCAATCAGTAGGCTGCATTTTGCCTTTGCTAGGCACCTAGTCCTTATGACAAGGACCTAGTAGCAGCAGTCAATGGATAAGGCACTGGCCAGCTCTCTCCTGGAGAAGTCTTGAAGTTTCCAATAACAGTGGTGCAGACAAGGTACACCAAGAATATACCCCATAGTAAGAGCACACAGATAAAAAAACCCACCAAACAAGATTCAGCTCAAACACAGTAGTAGCTGGGCCTTAAAGATCTGTATAGACATTTTATTTCCACCTTAGACAATGACTCCAGGAGACTAATGCAAACCTGTCTGGAAAATAGTTACTACTGATAAAACCAACAAATTCCTTGGTAGTCACAGGATTCCGAGCTTAGCCAAGGTAGTAAAGTAAAATGTTTACAAAACCACAGAGAAAAGATTTTGTATTTGGATTTGTTTCAGGAACTACCGGCTAGTACCTTCCCGCTGTTGGGATTCTAGTAGAAACCACGCACTTCGTAATCCATTGTTATAAATTTGATAAAAGTTATATGAGCTGCGAATCTTACTAGTTGTTTTACAGGTCAGTCTAGGACCTTTATTCATTCCCTACATCAAGAGGGGATGCAGAAAATATGTATTTTGAAAGCAGTCCTTCAAATGAAATGTCAACAAAGCAGTCTTCCTCCAACATGTTAATGATCATACCAATACTGTAAGTACCATTTATCAGTTTTTGCCTTCTAAAAATTCATTGAATGTACTATCATGTACAAAAAAAAACCTCACAAGGGACTCAACTAGGAAAGCATGCTGATGGTATTATTTGATAAAGTTCATAATTTATGAAAAGGTTAATATTCACACTGCAACCTGACACTGAGCCATGAAACATACGCATTTTGAAAAGACCTGCCTAGCTAGGCCCTTTTAAGGAGTGATCAGAAGCTAGTTTCAACTGCAAGAGCAACCAAGAAGAGTATTTTAAAAATGCAGTGCAGAGATGGAGAAAGAGTCAAAATGAGATGCTGTTGAGAAAAGTTCTTAATCAACTACAAACCAGCTTCAGTTCAAAAATTACTGACTATGACTGTAAATCTACTTCTTGGTTCCTATCAGTCACCTATGCAAATGGCTGAGTAGGTTTGACAAGGCTCTATAAGCAACTCCATAGGTCACAGGTGAAAATGAAACATTATGGTTGTGTAGAGTAATGCAAACTGGACCAAGTGACCTGCCTAGTTATTCTGTCACACCAAATTTAGGTTTGTTATGAAAAAGTCCAAAGAATAATGAGCTGAATTGAAGCATTCTAAGGAATAAATCAAGATCTAGATAAAATATGATTTTCTTCAAGACATGGAAGTCCAATTCAGATGCTGAGTGTAATTGTTCAGTACAGTAATGGTTCAGTGCCCAAGAGACTGCAGTATAAGTGAAAAGGATCAAAGATCAGTCTTCAACTGAGCTAAGAAAATTTAGTTACAGCATCACAGAAAAAGTGAAGCTGATGAAACACAAGCCTACCCTGGGAGCTACATTTTAAAGAGCATTTGGTTCCTCTATAGGGATCTCTCTGCCTAGTAAGTGCAGTAATTCAGGTTGATTGCACAACCTTCATTTGGCCTACTTCTACATATGCACAAGAAAATTTTCATCTCCTGACCATTTTGCACTGGTGGAAAGCAGAATCAACTCAGCAAGACAAAGGTTTAAGACAGGACCTCTTAACATTTCATTTTCACATTTACCTGCCTGTAATTCCTCACAGAAGACTGCCGCATCTATTTATTTCACTACTGGCAACTGAAACTTCTGCTAGGGTATTGGAGTAACTTGTGCTTTATTTACTTTGCTAACGCTGCAAGTAAGTTTTCATTTCCCTTGGAACATTTCCAGGGAAAATGGGATTAAAAAGTAAGGCTACATCATGTCCATTCAAAGTCTAATACCTGCTACTACTGGCAGCTTTGAGTAAAAATGTTACAAGTCTTGGCTCTTCTTAGGGAACCTTGGATATTATGATACATAAGAGCTTGGCAAGTACTCCTTACTCCTGTATTTGCATAATCAGTGTAAGATGGCATATATGCACACATTTTGGATGAGCACAAATTCAGAACACTTTGGCATACAAGTTTTAACACTACTGGGCTAAAGTGCAAAATAATATAACAACAAACTAAGCACAATTCTAAAAAAAAAAAAGCTAGTGTCTTGAAGAGAAATCTTCAGAAGTTCTAATACTGCATCAGCAATGAAACTTGGACTGAACTTTATATGAGGGAATGATCCATACAAAACCCTGGGCAACTACTACATGACACTAGCATCTCAGAACACAAGTGTTCTACATGCCTGTTAGAGCTCCATGGGCTTTTTTTTTTTAAGCACACTTGGAAGTACTCTCTCATACTAAGGTTGAGGAAGTCACAGCAGCAATACATTTTAAGCAGGGAGAGTTGGATGGGAGTGGAAAGCAGGAACAAGAGATTTAGCTACTTGACAGTTCACTTTGGGGGTAATAACTCTGCATATAGTTACGTACAATGTATTACTGTGTTGATTTTGGCTGGGATAAAGTTAATTTTCTACATAGAAGCTAGTATGAGGCTATGTTTTGGATTCGTGCTGGAAACAGTGTTGATAATTCAGGAATGTTTTCATTACTGCTGAGCAGTGCTTACACAGAGTCAAGGCCTTTTCAGCTTCTCACCCCACCCCACCAGTGACTAGGCTGGGGTGCACAAGAAGTTGGGAAGGGACACAGCCAGGACAGCTGACCCCAACTGACCAAACAGATACTCCACGCCATATGACGTCATGCGCAGCATATAAAGCTGGGGGAAGAAGGAAGGGGGAGACATTCAGAGCAATGGTGTTTTGTCTTCCCAAGTAATCATTACATGTGATGGAGCCCTGTTTTCCTGGAGATGGCTGAACACCTGCCTGCCGATGGGAAGGAGTGAATGAATTCCTTGGTTTATTTTGCTTGTATGTGCAGCTTTTGCTTTACTTGTTAAACTGTCTTTATCTCAACCCACGAGTTTTCTCATTTTTACTCTTCTGATTCTCCCCCCTATCCCACTGGGGGGAGTCAGCGAGTGGCTGTGTGGTGCTTAGCTGCCTGCAGGGTTAAAACATGACAATTATTAAAAAAAAGCTAAATTACTAGACTAGGAAAACTCATTATTTCTCTAATTCATTCCCACAGTGCTGTATGTCCCATTAGAACATATTTCCTAAATAGAGAATTTTGATTCTGTAGCACAGGTCCATTTATACCTACTTATGACAAAAAGCCACACAAAGTACAGATTATCAGCTTTCCTGAAGAACAGCACTAGATGATCTCATGGAAGACTACACAAAACATTAACATAACAGGACATTATTATGAAGAGCTAAGATTTATCCTTGAACTGGCAGTGTAACACTGTAACATCTGATACAGCTGTTAAGAACCGCAGTCAATATTAAAGCCGTAAGACGTGCGGTGCCCAAGCTCAGGCATCGCCACTCTCCCTTGTCTCAACTGTTTAAAGCTATGGATCAAATTACTACATATCAGTCAGAATACAGTAAATATACTTTCTGAAGCTTTCCATCAAAGCATGGTTAAAGACTGAACACAGTAACCTTAATTTGACTTCAGTGACTTGTCTAATTTGAAAGACCAAGACTCACCATGTCAACAAGTTACCAAACCATGTGGTTTAGCAGCCTGATATATTGCCCCAGTATATGCACACAGATGAAATTTTGTAACATCTTGAATTTCAGTATTTGTAGCTTTATGCTGAACAACTAAGTCACATGACATAGTGGTTTGAAAGTACTCAGTTTCTATATCCCATACAGCAAAGCAGGTATGAGGTCAGATCACATGACAAGTGAATGTTTACTTGAACTCATATGGTTTGGTTTTTTTTTTTTTTTTAAATTCCCTTAACTAACCTTGGGACAAGCAAGTGAAG